TGTGTCGAGCTACACCCTGCCAAGCTGCAACATCCGATTTGAACCCTCCGGCATACACTTTGCTAGACAACACAATATTGATGAGGTGATATACACTGAAGATTGTTTATTACTGGAGGTTTGTCCAAGTTGGGAGTTTCTTGAAGCAATTTTCTGTGATGTCTTGGAAATTCGCTTTAACGGAATTTCTCCTTACCGTGAGTACTTCCGCAGTTTGGATGCGCAGAAAATCCCCCATAAAGCTGTGCGAATCTCGCTTACCACGACTGCAGCCAAACTACACGATTCCTGCCCATCCAAATACTTTGGTTCTGTTGAATTTGTGGGTGATTGGAGCTCCGTTACCCTAGAATGATCACACGACACTCTAAGGCTGGTTGCAACTCACATAAGGGCCGGCTTTAGGCTCAGCTCTCTGTTTTATTAAGAATACACACATGCCCCCCACATGAATAAAAGTCAATCCCTCCCACCGAACAATACAATGGGGATTGCCTATACAGAGGATGTACATTCCAATTGGAGCATAGCCTTTGCTATTATCTATCACTGGTCCTCCCCCATGAGTCTTCTGAGGTCAGCAGACTTCCTCCCCTTCCCCCCCTATGAGCCATCTGAGGTCATATTTCCTGTCCTACTAGCTTCTATTGGTATGCAAAATTCTCTGCACAAGCATCTCCCTAAAAATATCAGTCTGTACCTGGATGGGCCCGATACGATCTTTATTAAAACACATCCATCCGGATACAGTTCAGATTAGTAATGGGTTGTAAGATATGCACAAGCCTACACGTGGAGTTCACACCGCTTGCGCCTTGCGTTATGAAGCCCACGTGGTACCATGCTGCTGATATGTGGATACAGGCCCACGGTCTACTGACAGCAGCATTCGCATGGAATGCCGTGGTGGTATACACGCCGGTCTATAAGCGCAGATCTGCCATCTCATCCATTACCAAGCTGAGTACTGTAATACATACATTGTACATGCGCATGGCCCAATTGCAGCCTTCAGAGCTTTAATTAAGCCACACGAGAGACATATGAATAACACGAATATATGACACATTTAAAGTTCGACCAACAATACAAAATTTCCATGACACCTTCGACCAGCGTAGAGCTTTTTCAGTTTTCTGGGATAGTAAAATATTCAGTTCTAGACGCTTTGCGATATCATGGTTTGTTAAGGAGAGATGGATTGCCATCATGAGCCCTATAATGTGATTCTAATTCTCGGGTAAGTTTCTGAATTTGTTTCCGCCGCTCTCTATGATTTCTAGAAGAAGCCATGGAAATAAGGTGACCTCGCAGGAACGCCTTATGGACTACCCACAAGATGGCCGGGGAGATATCAGGAGTTGTGTTTGACTGAAAGTATTCTTGAATGGAAGTAACTACTTCATGGCGGGTGTTAGTATCCGTAAGCATAGAGTCGTTAAGTCTCCAGGAGTAGGGAGTAGGGACTAGACCTATAAAAGTGATAGACAGCGCGATAATATTATGATCTGACCAGGGGCTTAAATGAATGCAAGCTTTCCTAGAGTTAGCCAGCAGAATGGGGGAGCAATAGATATAATCTAGTCTAGCATAAGAGTCATGTGGGTGGGAGTAAAATGAATAATCTCTAGCTCCTACACTATGTGCCCTCCAGGAGTCTACCAGTTGAAGGGTGTCTAATTTTTTGGTAAGGGATTTTGGGAAGGCCTGGGAGGATGGTGAGAACGAGCTTTGGTCTAAAAAAGGGGTTAGCCACCAAATTAAAATCACCTCCCACCAATAAACAAGGGGATAGAAACCTATAAAGAATTTTGAAAAAACGGGAAAAGAAGGATGCTTGTGCCAAATTTGGTGCATAGACATTAGCGATCGTGAGTTTACGACCCGAGAGGGTGCCTTTAATAATGACAAATCTGCCCTCAGGGTCACGTGCCCGAGGGTTTTTTACTACAAACACATGGAAATAACATGCCCTTCCCTGCTCGTCCCGGGGAACTCTGGTAAGGACCTGCTGATCTACCAGGTCCCCAATTAGGACACGCAGGGCCTGCACCCTTTCCCGATCCTTAGGAAGGTGGGTTACCAGATACCTGGTGGGGAGACTGAAGTTGAACTCCAACCTGTACCCCTTTTTGATCAAGTCCAGGATGTACAGACTCGAGAAGATTGAAGCCTACTGAGAGAGAAAGGTCCCCAGTCTTCTTTCCATTGGGACATTCAAGTCATTGAGATGAGACTTGGTGGGCTTTGAGGAGGATTGAATAAGATTCCTCCTCTTCCCCTATTCTTGTGCCCTGTCCAATGTTTCTTAGGCTGAACCTCCTTAGCCTGCTGGGCATGTGTTTTTTCGACAAAAAAACCCTACTAGAGTAAAACCTTTTCTTACTCTCTGGGAATGTCCTCTTGTTATGGGCCGTACATTCCATATCCTCCTCGAGACCTGGACCAAAAAGATTATCACCAATAAAGGGTAAGGCACAAAGGTGCAGTTTTGAATGCGGAGTTCCCTGCCCAGGTTTTTAACCAAAATGCCGTTTTAGCTGAATTCACTAGGGCAGAGGTTCAAGCCGCTAGCTTAATTGATTTGGCCGAGGCATCCACAAGGAAACCAACTGCTTTAAACAGCAAAGGAAATTATTTCAGGATTTGCTGCCTGGAGGTCCATGCTGAGAGATGCGACTATAACTATGTAAGCCAGCATTCCAAATTTCTGGTGACACAGGTAGCCGATAAAGCTGGCCTAAAGCTGATGGAAGTGGAATCCCAGGCCCTGCGGAGTAAGACTTCATCCCTCTTATCCATAGGGTCTTTCAGAGCCCCCATATCTTCAAATGCTAAGTCTGTCCTATTAGAGACTTTAGATAAGGGGGTGTCTAATTTCTGAACCTTGTTCCATTGCTGGGACCCGTTATCCTAAAAAGGAAACCTCCTTTATTAAGATTACTTGATGAGAAAAAGGGTTTCCTCTCAGGGCTTTCCCATTCCTGCTTAATGGTATCAACTAGGGAACTATGGACTGGAAAGACATTAGTCTTTCTAGCATACAAACCTTGATACATGAGGTCATGCTTAGATAGGCAAACATCCTCCTCCTCGATCTCTAAGGTTTCGTAGAAAGCTTTAAGGAGGTTGTCCACATCTTCCAGGGGCAATTTGTTCCTGAAATCTCTAGAGGAGCAAACTTCACCGTCCTCCTCTTATGAGCCTGAATCTACACGGGTCCTAGGATCCTCCTCCGGGTCCTCCTCCCCTTTTAATGCATCTGCTACCTCCGAACCCGCCGATTGGGTCCAAGGAGCCAGTGGCAACTGCATTTTTCAACAGGGATCTAAAGGATTGAAATGTAGACAACATGTCATCCTTAATGGAGGTGAGCACTTTATGGCAGGCTGTAAATGACTTATCCTTAATTAGGCTAGCCACACAATTGCAGCATAAGGGTTTTTCCCAAGCTGAACCCAATTTAGCTGCACAAACTGCACACTTCTTCTTGGGGTCTGACTCTGCACCTTGTCCTGGGCTTTAACCTACAATAAGCAAGAAAAAAAAACAATACAGAAAGTAATCAGCCCAGGGCCTCTCATACAAAAAACGCTGTGCTGAGGGAGCAAGAAAAGGAAGTGTGCCCACCAGGGTCAGCAAGAGGGATCAGAGTCCCCAAGCTTACCTTAGAGGAGCCAGTGCCTGAAGGACCAGGATATGCCTGAGAAGTGCAAGCGCCTTCCATCCATCCCTCTTGGTGTAGAGCCACAGGCTCTGCTGGGTCAGTACACAAGACTGGCTGCTTGACCAGATGCCTGTGCTGCTATGGAGACTGGAACCACGGGTCTCCAGCATCCCTCGATGATGTCACTGCAGCCAAAACTTCCGGTTCCTGGACAGCACCCAGAAGTTGCGGCTACTCGCACGCCTGCTTGGCAGTCATTCTGCCCCACTGTGCATCGGATGCGGGAGCCCCCCCGCGCACAGGAAGGAATGCAATAGGCATCAAAGGTCCAGGACCACCCAGGACAACCCCAATGGTCATCATGCACTGAGGCATGGAAAGATATCAGGAGCGCAGCCCCACTTCCCCTGAAGGGATCACGTCGGGCAGGAGGAAGTAAGCCAGACCAGGATCCCCCAGCAACCTCTAGGGCCCAGGACTTCGACAATCAGTTCCTTGATGACTGCACCCATCCTTCCAGAGGAAACACTAAAAACTCAGGAGGAGGCCTGATGGTCCGCCTTTTATAGTACTGTGCTTACGTGTTTCCTGTCCCAGAGGGAGGAGCTCTGTCTCAGGAAGGATGTCCTGGAGGACGTTTGGAGAAATGAACATTAGAATGTCTGAGAGACAAAAGCCAGAAATAGATCAGTGGCTGCATGCACGCCTCATTGTTAGGCTGCAGGTAGAGAGGCAGAGATGAGGCAGGATTTATCATGAAATACAAATTAAAGTGTATTATTATCAAAACAGCCAAGAATATTTCACAAGGTCTGAAAAGTATGTAAGTCATCGAGTTATTCCCCAATTTAAAGAAGAAGAGCATAACTGCAGGTAGTAAATGTAAGAGAGGAGTTGCAGATGATACGATGGTGGGTAATATGTACAGGAGAGGAGTGTGTGGGGTATGACAGTGATCGGTACATACAGGAGAGGAGTACGGAGGTATGACAGTGATCGGTATGTACAGGAGAGGAGTGTGGAGGTATGACAGTGATCGGTACATACAGGAGAGGAGTACGGAGGTATGACAGTGATCGGTATGTACAGGAGAGGAGGAGGAGTGTGGAGGTATGACAGTGATCGGTATGTACAGGAGAGGAGTGTGGGGGGTATGACAGTGATAGGTATGTTCAGGAGAGGAGTGTGGAGGTATGACAGTGATAGGTATGTACAGGAGAGGAGTGTGGAGGTATGACAGTGATCTGAGTGTACAGGAGAGGAGTGTGGGGGGTATGACAGTGATCGGTACGTACAGGAGAGGAGCACGGAGGTATGAAGTGACAGTGATCAGTACATACAGGAGAGGAGTACGGAGGTATGACAGTGATCGGTGTGTACAGGAGAGGAGTGTGGAGGTATGACAGTGATCGATACGTACAGGAGAGGAGTGTGGGGGGTATGACAGTGATAGGTATGTACAGGAGAGGAGTGTGGAGGTATGACAGTGATCTGTTGTGTACAGGAGAGGAGTGCAGGGGGTATGACAGTGATCGGTACGTACAGGAGAGGAGTACGGAGGTATGACAGTGATCGGTACATTACAGGAGAGGAGTACGGAAGTATGACAGTGATGGGTACGTACAGGAGAGGAGTGTGGAGGTATGACAGTGATGGGTACGTACAGGAGAGGAGTGTGGAGGTATGACAGTGATGGGTACGTACAGGAGAGGAGTGTGGAGGTATGACAGTGATGGGTATGTACAGGAGAGGAGTACGGAGGTGTGACAGTGATCGGTATGTACAGGAGAGGAATACGGAGGTATGACAGTGATCGGTATGTACAGGAGAGGAATACGGAGGTATGACAGTGATCGGTATGTACAGGAGAGGAGTACGGAGGTATGACAGTGATGGGTATGTACAGGAGAGGAGTGTGGAGGTATGACAGTGATGGGTATGTACAGGAGAGGAGTACGGAGTATGACAGTGATGGGTATGTACAGGAGAGGAGTACGGAGGTATGACAGTGATGGTATGTACAGGAGAGGAGTACGGAGGTATGACCGTTCCCAGGGAGGAGTGTCTCAGGAAGGGTCTATACTCCACCATAACTCTGGTTCTCGGAGTGTCAGGTCCCAGCGGGTTCTCCTGGTGTCTCTCCTGTTATTCTGTCTCGGACACATCAGAGGAACATGGGTGGGAGATCGGCCTGAATGTCCTTCCTAGGAGGGAATACCGGAGCCATTCTGAGGCCCATTTAATGGCCGGCAATGAGGAGGAAACCAACACTGAGAAGTAGATGCTGAGATATATACAGCACGGGGCAGCACAGTGGCTGAGTGGTTAGCACTTCCACCTGGCAGTACTCGGGTTGTTGGTTCAAATCCCAACCATGGCACCACCTGCCTGGAGTTTGCATGTTCTCCCTGTGCCTGTGTGGGTTCCCTCTGGGTACTCATGGTTTCCTCCTACACTACAAAGACATGCTGGGAGGTGAATTGTCTCCTACATTGTCCCTAGTATGTGTATGTGTGAATGTGAGTTAGGGCCCTTAGATTGTATGCTCCTCGGGGCGGGGGACTGATGGGAATGTACAATATAGATGTAAACTGACGGCGCTATATAAGTACCTGGAAAAAATAATAATAATACACCCAGATCATCGATGACGAGAAGGAAGGTTCGGTCACAGATGATTGGTCCATCTATAGCAGGGACAGGAGGCGGGACCAGGAATAGGAGATCCACCTGACTTACCCGTGTGCTCTGACATGGAGAAGATCCCATGCTGGCCCTATGGTGGCCGTGTGTTCAGGATGGAGACCGACAATCACAGGACCTTCTAAAAGCAGATCTAAAATGGCTGAAAGGAAGAAAGTGTTCCCTGGACAGGAAGTGACACAAACAGGAAGTGACTCCAGACAGGAAGTGACTCCAGACAAATTTATACAGAGGGTGCAGTATGGAGAGCAGACACTAGATGGTGCTGGTACAAAACAAGCTGAATAGCATGAAATAACAGTGAAAAAAAACCCTAAAAAGCAAAGACGATGGCGGCTCGTAAAATTCCTATTAAATTCCACTCTACATGTTTACATCACATCACGTGACTTCCTCAGGAGTTGGCCATCGGACGTACAGCTGCCTATATATACCATTGTAATCCTTAATAGACTAATCGGGTGCCATTATATTGAAGCCTGTCTGTCCCTTATTTGGCGGCCATTTTTCCCTTGGTCTAAAATTGTGTTTTTACATTACAGTGAAGTGGATTAGTTTTCTCCCTCCTCCATTTTGTTGTAGCCCGCCTGTCCCTCCTCCGGCGGCCATTTTCCCTTAGTCTGATAATGAATGCTGGCACATTTTGTCCCCTGATATTAGACATTAGCCGGGTGATTGTATACACACAGCGGGCAGATCTCAATCAATGTCACCTACTAGTCTATACTGTCACAGGGTTGGCCAGCCAACCATGTGGCTCCTATTCTGTCCTTCCAATGACCATTCTTAGTACATAGGACTCATCTTCCATACTACATTCATGATACAACAAGATGGAAACTCCCAATATACAGAGAAAAAATCTCCCATAAAATACATAGAAATACATCTGCCCTAAAGGGCCATAAACATAAGAAGATTGCCCCCGACGCCCCCAGATTCATCTACAATACTAGCCAAGGTGTCATTGGTCCCCCTAATACACGGACAGTACCTGTTTCATGTACAGGAATGAAGACAACACAAGCTGCTGGTGTGAGGAATCATGTTGTACAACAGAACTGCATCCAGGTCAGCATAGAACAGGAAGCAGGAAGTAGAAGGCCATGCAATATTCCCGGATACAAGTCGGGTCACAGGATTTGTACAATGACTCTATAACAGTTTCCATCTTGTTGTATCATGAATGTAGTATGGAAGATGAGTCCTATGTACTAGGAATGGTCATTGGAAGGACAGAATAGGAGCCACATGATTGGCTGGCCAACCCCGTGACAGTATAGACTAGTGGGTGACATTGATTATTATTATTATGTATAAATTGGCAACAGTTCGCTCAGCGCTGTACATTAATGGGGAGGACAATATGCGCAGTACAATAACAAATACAATGCGATACACGAGAGGTTCGAAGGGCCCTGCTCCTTATAGCTTACAATCTAGGGGAGAGGGGTTAGTGGTACAGGATGGCTTACAACATAGCTGTGGGGGATGGAGTGGTAGGAAGAGTGGAGGAGGATTGGCAAGCATTGTATTAGTAAAGGGAAAATGGTTTCCCTGAAGGGTGGGTTGTTTACAGGGTGGCGCCTATACAACAAAGAGGAAGTGGTGAAAGTTCTGATTCTAATCCACTGGTAAAAAACATTATTTTTGAGGAAAATGGGTGACAGACACTACCATGGCGAATAGTCCTGGAGGTGGGCATGGGGAGGAGGAGACCTATGTTGGGAACTAGGAAGTTACGTGATGGATGTCACTTAGAGTGGACAATAGGAGCGGAGAGTACGAGCTTGTTGGAGAAGGATAACTTTCAGGATATTTAGGTGTTGTATTACTTTAGTTTTTTTTGGGGCAGTATGTCTGATACTGACAGCCTCTTGTACATCAGTGTTAGCGTGGGTCCTTTCAGATGCGTCGGTTTGATCTGTAGGGGCAAGCTTGGATAGCCATGGGTCAGAGGGTATTTGTGGGTAGTGAGTCTGGGGATTCTTCCTAGTGCCATCCAGGCCAGTGGACCGGGGATTGGCCAGAGGGGGGGATCATCTGGATTGTCACGTTCCATCTTGGGAGGGGTCATCAGATGTGGTGGGTCCTGATAATGGCGCTATTTACTTGGGGGTGGAGGACACTGCCTTGTCCGGGAGAGGCCAGTGCTTGAGGTCATCTGTCACTCGGCAGGGTGGAGGCGTCGGACTGTAGTGGACGTAGCCTAACCTCTGGGATTAGGCATAGAGTGGGGTGGCAACGGGGAGCATGGGTGAGGTGCCCTCCTGAGTCTGGCTATGCCGTGTTCAGGATAGACTGGAACTGGGGATACCTGTGGGAACCTTCCCCACCATAGGGCCAGCTGGGTGTATCTTTCTCTCATGCAGTATCTCAGTCGGGTGATATGGTCCAAAGGTGGGATGATTCCTGTTTTCCTTTATTTTTGTGTTTTCCTTACAGGGGGTTAGGAAAGTGCAGTTTGATTTTAGACGATCCCCCTGCCACGAGGATGGTGGAGTCTGCGTAACCCTTAACTAGTGAATGGCACGATTGGAAATCTGGGTGGATAAGATTGGAGTCTTTTAGGTGACGCCAATGTATTGGGCTTGCGGGGTGTGCACTTTAATGGTGCCATGGTCCCCACTCCAAACAGCCCATCGTGATGGAGAAGTCTGAGTGGGGGGTAAATGCTGAGGCCCTGGGACTAAAGACTGTTGTAGCTCATGTTTACACATACTAGGGGGTATAAGTTTAAGGAAGTCAAGTCACCTCCAGCATTCTTCTGATAGTGTGTCTTCAGTAGCCTAGCGATTAAAAGGCGGAGGACTAAACCCAGGTAGGAGGCGAGGGTAAGTAGAATGAGTGCCGATTGCGTTCCTTCATTGGCAGGAGGGTGGATAGTTGAAGCTACGTGAGAGTTGTATGATTGTACGGTCTCCAAGACAAGTGAGGTGTAGATGGAGTGCCTAAGACTTCTAGCCCAAGGGACAGGGTAGCCTTTGAGGACCCGTGAACAGGGTATCGGGGTCTGTCAGCAGGGGGGGTACTGAGTGGGTAGCACTTATGGGTAACGCTGTAAGACGGCATTGGCGCATAGGTAGGAACGAGAGCTGTGGGGGAAGGCGGAATCTGAGCGGCCGAGGGCTTGTGTAAGTGAGGTTTGAGGAGGAATGGGGGCCGGGGGACTGTGTATGAAAGCCGGGGAGAGGTCGAGGAGTCAGGAGCACTGCTAATTGTGGCTGTTATCAATGGGTCGAAGTGGGTGTGTCGTTGGCAGAGTCTAGGAGAGAAGGCAGTTTTGGATCGGTGTAGGGGACAGAAGCTGAGATGTAGGGGATCGTCGCGCCTGGGAGGTATTGTTCGGGTTCATTGGAGGGGGGGGCGACTGTTAGCAGAGCGAATCGGGGAGCGGGCGGGGACGGGACACTTGGATGTAAATGGGAGGGCAGTTGGGAGATCGGTGTAAGGGGTAAATGTTCGGGATGTCAGTGGGGGGGGAAGGCAGGGCTTTTTTAAGTATTGGAAGGGATTGTCCGCGTGAGCTCTCAGTGGAGGGAGGACATGCGATCGGAAGGTTCCATACGACGGGGGAGCAGAATAAAGGGGTGGGTGAAGGGAGGGAAGGATGGAGGGTATGTTAGGGGAAATCGGGCGGTCAAGTTGGGAGGGAGGGTCAGGGAATGGGGGCAGGGTGGTGAGGCGGGGCTTCAGAGCGGGGGGTGGTGACCTGTTCAAGGTAGTAAGGTCGAAGGAGTAGGAGTGTTGAGGGGGGATCAAGTGTGGGGGATGTTACCGGGTGAGGCGGGTGGAGGTTGGAAAAGATGAACCGTTTGGTCAGGCATGGGGGAGAGGGGTTGATGAGGGGGTACTAAGGGGTTGCACTGGTGAGCTGGGGGACGGGTTCAGGCTGGCTAGGACTGAGGGAGCGGCGGTACCAGAAGGGTGGCAGATTCCCGCGGATTGTGGGGTCTGGTTTTTGAATAGGGATTGGCAATCTCGTGGGCGGGGGGTCCTGGTGCAGTTCTGGGGGAGGGGGGGAGGGGGCTGGGGTAGAGGGGGGAAGGGGAGAAGAGGGGGGCAAGGATGGGGGAGGGGGTATTGAATTGAGGAGGGATGGGATGGGTTAGCTTGTTTAGCAGAATGGGGAGGGGAGGCAGGATTGGGTGTGGCAGGCAAATCGGGGATACGGGTGAACGTTCAAGGGGATCTGGATTTGCGCAATAGAGGTTTGGCCCAGGGCACGGTAAGGGCTCGTTTGAGAGATTTGGTGGGGATACAGTCTGCAGGGCGGGACGTTACTGGTCGGGGTCTGTAGGTGTTCGCATGTTCGGGTTAAGGGGCTAGGGTCAATGTCCGAAGGGACGGTTTGATAGCGAGTCGGTTATAGCAGTCATGGGCCAGCCCGTCGGTGGGGGGGACCATAGGATGCTGTTGTAGCTCGTTGATCAGCTGGGGAGTGGACGGGGGGCAGGGTTCAGGTTGCAGATGGCCCGGGGGGTGGTAATAGTATGACATTTGGGGGGGTAGGTGGCCTTGGGGGGAGGGGTGAGGGTACCCATCAGAGAAGGCTATCCAAGGTTGTAGTAGGTGAGAGGGGAAGGGGTAGTGTTAGTGAGAGGTTCACTTGGGGACGCAGAGATGGGCACTGACAGCATGGTTCCAGGGTGTTCCCTGTGGAAAAGGGGGTGGGGATTGTTAAATGTACTGTGGAGGTGGGGTATGGGTGAAAAAAAGGAGGAGGTTAAGTGGAGGAGAATGGGGGTGTCCGTGTTGTTGGTAGTGACAGGGATGTTGAAATCCCCAAGGATGATGGGTGGGTACTCAGCTAGAGAAAGAAGGGTACCCGGCGGTTTTTAGTCATCTACGGAAGGGATGGTGGATCCATCGGAGGCCGGTAGGGTCACTGCAATCTTCAGGGGGGGGTTTTGGGGTAAGAATATCTGGACGCAGTGTGGCTCAAAGAGGTGGAGAAGGATCAGGGGGGGGGGGTTTTTGGGAGGACTAGGAAGGTGCTCAGTGGGGGGGGCAACCTCCTCGTGCGGGGTAGGGACCACCTCTGTAGGCAACCGTAGGGGTCTGGGTATGAAGTGGGTCCATATGACCTCCATAGGTAGAGTGCTGCGGGGGTGGGTAATGTCAGTGGGGGAGGGGGTGGGGGGGGGGGGGTGGGGGAGGGGGAGGGGTGGGGGGGGGGGGGGGGGGGGCGGGCGGAGGTGACCAAGGAAAAATGGCCACCAAGGAGGGTACAGGTGGTCTACAAAAAATGGAGGAGGAGGGAGATCTAATCCACTGTGCTGTAATGAGATATAATTGAAATTAGACCAAGGGAAAATGGCGCCGAATAAGGGACAGACAGGCTACAACATAATGGCGCCCTGTTAGTCTATTAAGGATTATAATGGTTTAATAGGCAGCTGTACGTCCGATGGCCAACTCCTGAGGAAGCCACGTGATGTTATGTTAACATGTAGAGTGAGATAATGACTTCAAGCTGCTAAATAGGAAGTGTTTACGAGCCACCATCGTCTTTTGCTTTTCAAGTTTTTTCCCCCTTGTTTTATGCTATAAAGCTTTTTTGCGACCAGCACCATCTAGTGTCTGCTCTCCATACTGCAGCCTCTGTATAAATCTTTCCGGATGTCTTGGTTTCCTGTCAGTGTCACTTTCTGTCCTGTGTCACTTCCTGTCTGTGTCACTTCCTGTCCCAGGAACACTTTCTTCCTTTCAGCCATTTTAGATCTGCTTCTAAAAGGTCCTGTGATTGTCGGTCTCATCCTGAACACACGGCCACCATAGGGCCAGCATGGGATCTTCTCCATGTCAGAGCACACGGGTAAGTCAGGTTGGATCTCCTAGGTTCCTAGTCCCGGCTCCTGTCCCGGCTATAGACGGACCAATCATCTGTGACCGAACCCTTCCTCCTCGTCATCGATGATCTGGGTGTATTATTATCCGTATTTATTCCAGGTACTTAAATAGCGCCGTCAGTTTACATCTATATTGTACATTCCCATCAGTCATATCCCGCCCCCGAAGAGCGTATAATCTAAGGGCCCTAACTCACATTCATACATACACATACTTAGGGACAACTTAGACAGGAGACAATTCACCTCCCAGCATGTCTTTGTAGTGTGGGAGGACACCCACACAGGCACATCAGGGAGAACATTGCAAAACTCCAGGCAGGTGGGTGCCATGGTTGGGATTTGAACCAACAACCCGAGTACTGCCAGGTGGAAGTGCTAACCACTCAGCCACTGTGCTGACACCAGGAGAACCCGCTGGGACCTGACACTCTCGAGACATGAACCAGAGTTATGGTGGAGTATAGACCCTTCCTGAGATACTCCTCCCTGGGAACGGTCATACCTCCGTACTCCTCTCCTGTACATACCCATCACTGTCATACCTCCGTACTCCTCTCCTGTACATAACCCATCACTGTCATACCTCCGTACTCCTCTCCTGTACGTACCGATCACTGTCATACCTCCGTACTCCTCTCCTGTACATTACCCATCACTGTCATACCTCCGTACTCCTCTCCTGTCCCTGTACCGATCACTGTCATACCTCCATACTCCTCTCCTGTACGTACCGATCACTGTCATACCTCCGTACTCCTCTCCTGTACATACCCATCACTGTCATACCTCCGTACTCCTCTCCTGTACATACCCATCACTGTCATACCTCCGTACTCCTCTCCTGTACGTACCCATCACTGTCATACCTCCACACTCCTCTCCTGTACGTACCTCCTCTCCTGTACATACCCATCACTGTCATACCTGTTTATCACCTCTGCTTGTGACAGCATGGCTATTGAGAGCCAGTTCTGAAGGACAGAGAGTTGTCTAGCTCTGTGATTCCTATGATGTTGCAGCTGGAAAGCAAATCTAGTGTCCCCGATCTCCCCCACACCAGTTACAGTGTCCCCGATCACCTCCACACCGGTTACAGTGTCCCCGATCACCCCCACACCGGTCACGGTGTCCCCGATCACCTCACACCGGTTCACGGTGTCCCCGATCACCCCCCCACACCGGTTTCGGTGTCCCCGATCACCGTCAGAGCACTGATTGGGCTCACATTTGCAATGCACTTTCTGAAGAGCCATCAATGTACGGATGGCTTTTCAGAGCGCATTTGACAGGAAGTGAGAAAGCATTGTATCACAACCTCAACACCTGCTTTAGCTTGCTTGCTTATAGGTACAGGGACTGCTAAAGGTGATGATAAACTGAGCTATATTCTCTGACCCCTCATATGGAGGCCAACATAAAAGTCTTAAAAAGACTCAAAATGCCTGTTAGAAAATACATTTTGGGGTGTTACTTTCCAAAATGGGGTCATGGGGCCTCCAAAAATAAGTGATAGGTCGTCAGGAAATTTGGTGTGTAATTTATGCCCTCGGAGAGCCTGACCGTGCTCTTTTAGTTTTGGTCCCCCTATGTGGCTAGGCTGTGAAAAAGTCCCCATACTCTAGAGGAGTAGCAGAATGTGTTGTGGAATATATTTCTAAGTACGCCTACAATGTTTGTTAGAAATATCATAATAATTGAGAACATTGTGTAAAAATATATATTTTCTTTTTCTTTTCTGCATTTTCAAAAAAAACTTTTGATGAAAAATGACCAAAAAAACTTATTACTTATTACGTGCTTCAGAAAATACATTGAGTTTTTGCTTTCCAAAATGGGGTCATTTTGTGAGAGTTTCCACTGTCCTGGTGCTCTGGGCAGCCAAATATGTGATTGGTAGTCATGAAATTAGTGTAGATGTGTAATTTATGCTCCCTGAAAACCGCAATGTGTTCCTTGGATTTTGGACCCCCTCTATGCATCTAGGCTGTGAAAAGTCTCACACATGTGATATCCCCATACTCAGGAGACATAGCAGAATGTGTTTTGGGGTGTCAGTGTAAGTATGTCTATGCTGTGTGTGAGAAATAACTTGCGAAAATGATACCTTTGTGAAAAGAAAATTTGTATTTAAAGGATAAGTTCACATTTGAGAGCCTGTTGCATGTTCCACCCGTTTTTAGGGTGTAACATGTTCCCACTCCTGCAGCTGCTCCCCATTCTGCTGCCTCTAGTAATGGCAAACCGGGTATCTTCTCCCCGAAATCGCTGTCACTGGTCTAAGAAAACGGCATCCATGCAGGGTTCTGACATCATCCTGTGAATGGGAGAACTACAATTACTGACAGCCCTTGCGGCTGCTGACTTCTAGTTCTCAATGAACTACCAGGGAGCTGCTGAGTGCTCTAGAAAGTTCATTGTCTCTCCTGTCAGTGTGTAACTGCCTGCGAGTACCAGGTATTAGCAGACGGTTTACACTGACAGTATGCAGGAGTCCTGCATGGCATCTGCCACCTGCTGATCGGGGGTGCAATGCTTTCCAGGATCCCAGGGAAAAATAATAATAATTGCACATTTTTCTGCCTTCAAAAGATGTGCATTTATTTTTTTTAATCCTTTAATTTCTTCATTTTCCAAATAATTGAGACAAAAATTACAACCTCCAAAAGGTCATTTGAGGGAATTTGTACTGTCCTAATATTTGGGGGGATTTGTGCCGTCCTGACATTTGGGGGGATTTGTGCCGTCCTGACATTTGGGGGGGATTTGTGCCGTCCTGACATTTGGGGGGGATTTGTACCGTCCTGACATTTGGGGGGGATTTGTACCGTCCTGACATTTGGGGGGATTTGTGCCGTGACATTTGGGGGGGATTTGTACCATCCTGACATTTGGGGGGGATTTGTGCCGCCATTTGGGGGGGATTTGTATCATCCTGACATTTGGGGGGATTTGTGCCGTCCTGACATTTGGGTGGGATTTGTGCCGTCCTGACATTTGGGGGGGATTTGTACCGTCCTGACATTTTGGGGGGGATTTGTGCCGTCCTGACATTTTAGGGCCCCAAGAAATGAGATGGACCGTCAGTACATCAGGACTGATCCATTCCCAGATCCATCCCATGGTCTGTAGTCTCTATGACTTTCACACAGAATAAATACACTGATTTGGGCGATTTTACCAAATATCGCAGAATCTGTTTTGGCCTAAATTTATGAAGAAAGATATTATTTATTTACTAAGTTTTATCCCAGAAACTAAGAAATACATTTGTTTATAAATTGTAAGTTCCGTATTTTTTGCTTATTGAGGGAATATGGAGCGGCCGGCCCTGTATTCCTCCCGTCGCAGCGTTAGGATACCAGGCCGGCCGCTCGGTTCCTCTCTGCAGCAGATGCTGCTCCTCGGTCCAGCGTGTCCTCATCACCGCTGGTTTCACTTACCGTCTTCTCTCCCCGGCGCCGGCATCCTTGTTCAAACAATTTTATTAACAATAAACCAGAATGACACAAACAAGGAGACATTACTAATGTACACTGGACATTGAAGTGGCAGCAGTAGGACATAAAAAATGAATGAAGGTCACAGTGCAAATGTCTATACATTTCTGACAGAAACAGGTAGTTAAGAGTTGATAGCAAATGACGTTATTGTTTTGGCCAATCAGAGTAGTGTCTTGCAAGGGCATTAAAGAAATAGGGGGAAGTTTGGAGGGGGGTCAGGCAGGGGTGTAAGGGGGGGAAGGGGAAGAGGAACAACAACGATGACTCCATGAGCATTCATCAAGTTTACAACAGCCCCTACGTGCTGCGTACGAAGGGCTATTGACAATACCCATGGCGCACAATACACAAATCAAGGGAGAAGGAGTGATTCGTCAAAGTTAGGCGGGAGGAAACGCTCTACCAGGGGCTCTATATGCGCAAGAATTTAGGGATCCTGTCAAGAATTGTGGCTTCCACCTTTGCATGTATCATGGCTTGTGTTATTCTGGTTTTGACGGCCGCGATACTTAGGGTGGGGGATTTCCAGGATTTCGCTATAACCTGCTTAGCTGCCGTCATAACTTGCATAAGGAGCTTGAATTGCGAATTGGAGATGCCAGGGGGGCATTGATTGAGTAGGGCTGTTGTTGGGTCGGGTCGTAGAGTGATAGTGCTAAGTGTAGATATCATGGTGAAAATTTCATCCCAAAACATTCGGGCTACTGGGCAGTCCCACCACATATGGTAGTATGTTCCTGGGTCCGTACAGCCTCTAAAACAGTTGGGCGAGTAATTAGGGGTAAATTTTGCGATTCTTGCTGGGACCAAGTACCAGCGGGTTAAAACTTTATAATTTGTTTCCAATGCTACAATGTTCTGCGAGGATGATTTTGTGTTAGCCCAAATGTGGTCCCAATCAGATGGGTCAAATCTCTTACCTAAATCCATTTCCCACCTATGGGTAAACAGAGGGGGGGACGTGGTAATCGAAGTAGTGACGAGTGAGTATAAGCAGGAGATAAGCCCACGTCTATGAGGGTCTTTGCAACACGCTCGTTCAAAGAGAGACATGGCATCTGGCCGATTGGTTATTGTAGCGTAGGGGGCGTAAAAGTGTTGTAGCTGCAAGTATCTGAATATCTCGGAAGCTGGGAGGCTATGTGTTTCCCGCAGTGAGGCAAAGGATTTAAACTTATTCCTCTGTAGGAAATTATGTGTACGGAGCAAATTAGCAGAGGACCAGGCTTTGAATAATAGGGGTGTCTGCCAGGCCGGGGGAAAAGCTGGGTTTTCGGAGAAACGAGAGCATAGGATTATGTAGTGATTGGAGGAGAAAACAAGTTTTCAGTTTGTCCCATAAGCATAAAAAAGTGAGAAGTGATGGGGTTGGTTATAGAACGGCGGTCTATTGGCCTCAACCAGAGTAAGTTAGCTGTAGATAAGGGGTCACATTCTATCGATTCAAGGGCACAACCCATTGAGGGTTTATAAAGGTTGCATGATATTTAGGTAACTGGGCTAAATGCGCTGCTTGATAATATTTGCTGATGTCGGGTAGGCCTAGACCTCCATTGAATTAGAAGTTGCCATGGTTTAATTGCACATAACATGTAAACATTCACAGTGCAGGGAGGAAAAAGTATGTGAATAGCTTTTGATTTGGACTTAATAACTGGTTGACCCTTCTTTGGCAGCAATAACCTCAACCAAAAACGTTTCCTGTAGTTGCAGATCAGACCCTGCACAACGATCTGGAGTAATTTTGGACCACTCCTCTTCACAAAACTGTTTCAGTGTAGCAATATTCTTGGGATGTCTGGTGTGAATCGCTCTCTTAAGGTCATGCCACAGCATTTCAATCGGGTTTGAGGTCAGGACTCTGACTGGGCCACTCCAGAAGGCGTATTCTGTGCTGTTGCAGCCATTGTTTTGTTGAATTACTTGTATGCTTTGGGTCATTGTCCTGTTGCATCACCCATCCTCTGCGGAGCTTCAGTTGGCGGACAGATGGTCGTACGTTTTCCTGCAAAATGTCTTGATAAACTCTGGAATTCATTTTCCCATCAATGACAACAATCCGTCCAGGCCCTGAGGCAGCAAAGCAGCCCCAAACCATGATGCTCCCTCCGCCATGTTTTACAGTGGGGATGAGGTTTTGATGTTGGTGTGCTGTGCCTTTTTTTTCTCCACACATAGTGTTGTGTGTTCTTCCCAAACAACTCAATCTTGGTTTCATCTGTCCACAGTATATTTTGCCAGTAGTGCTGTGGAACATCCAGGTGCTCTTTTGCAAACTTCAAACGTGCTGCAATATTCTTTTTGGACAGCAATGGCTTCCTCCGTGGTGTCCTCCCATGTACTCCATTCTTGTTTAATGTTTTCCTTATTGTAGATGTGTCAACAAAAATG